ACAGAGGCCACTGGCCCTTTTCTGAACCCTCCATGCAGAGAGCCACAGAGCCAGCAGGTGGGTGCCATATATGAGACTACATCAACCTTGCTAACACTGTTTGTCCTGCCCTGGAGATCCACTGAGGCTCCATCTCACCCAACTTATGGGTGAGATGCAAAAAGCTTTACTAGGCACTTTTTGCATATGAATGACTGATCTTGGCTCATGCTTCACAACTTCCTAAATCCTCTCAAACAAATCTCAGTGAGCTCCTAGCCCCCGAATCTACTGCTAAGTTACCCAGGCCCAACACTGGCAGCCCCCAGCCTAGGTTCACAGCTTGGTTTCAATTGGGAACCTCCAAGCCCAGCATAAGTAGCAGCATTCTCAGATTTCTTTATAGCTCAGGCAGGGTGGCCCCAGGCAGAACACAGGTGGGGGCTGACTTTGGCTTGTACCACCCAGAAAAGCCCAGTACCTGCTCACCCGGTGGACAACTACAGACCATGTCGGAGCACCACCATCCTGCCCCTGTACAGCTGATCCTCCACAGAGGGCAGAGGTTAATGGTAAATGATCACAGACAGTCCTTGCAGCTGGCTGGCCTTACTAAATCCTTCCCATTGACCTGCCAATAGCAACCAAGGCTCAGTTACAAGAAGAAGGTATACTTCTTCAGCCCACATGGAGGGTACAACTCAAGTACCCAGCTTGGATCATAAGGGAGGCTGTGCCACTGGACCCTAAGGACACCTACTACATCAGGTCACGCTACCAAGACAAGGAGTCGTAACAGCTCTACCTAACACATAAAAACAAACACAGGGAGGCTGCCAAAATGAGGAGACAAAGAAATAAGGCCCAAATAAAAGGACAGATCAAAACTCCAGAAAAGGAGCTAAACAAAATGGAGATAAGCAATCTATCAGAGGCAGAGTTCAAAGCACTAGTTATAAAGATGCTCTATGAACTGAGTGAGGAGCTCCGTAGCATAAAAAAGATCCAGCCATCCCCTGGCTGGTGTGGTTCAGTGGATTGAGTGCCAGCCTGAGAATCAAAGGGTCACCTGTTCAATCCCCAGTCAGGAAATATGCCTGGGTTATGGGCCAGGTCCCCAGTTAGGGGCACACCAGAGGCAACCACACATTGATGTTTCTCTCCCTCTCTTTCTCCCTACCTTCCTCTCTGTCTAAAATAAACAAACAAAATCTTTTTAAAAAATAGCTTCCCAAGTGATTCTATTATGCAATCAGAGCTGAAAACTACAGCTATGAATAGAGAAGCAGATTGTCTATCTGTTGGGAACTGAGCACCCGAGAGATCAGCCTGTTTAGAAACAGTCCTAACCACCTTCTCGTCCTCACCCTGTGACCTAATATAGTATCAAAGGTCTGCCCTGCGCCTCCCCCAGTTACTCTGGTGCTCAGTGTTGCTGCTGGCTCTTCTACTTACTCAACATTAATTGAACACCGATTGTCAGTCAGACATCAGGAATTTAGAAGTGATTATGGCACAGTTCCTGATTCAGGGAGCTCAGAGACAGGTCAACACAATGTTCATATGTTAATAGAAAAGAATGCTGACCAATGTTTATCAAGTACTAGCGATGCACTGAACTTTGTTCTAAAACTTTGCGTATTAACTCATTTATTCTCCCAATAACCTTACAAGATAGGTACCATTACTAACAAGCCCATTTACAGACAAGACTCTTGGGCGGCAGAGAACTTACATAATGGCCTAAGCTCCTTTAGCTAGTCATAGCTGGGCTGAGAGTCAGACTGAGGCAGCCTCACTCTAGCATCCACGCCTTTAACCACTACACTGACTTGGATGAGTGGATGCACTCAAAGGTGTGGAGGCGTGACAGACATTGTGGATTCGGAGAAGGGTGAGCAACCCAGTCTGACTGAAAATGGGACAGAAAAGTTGGGTTGGAGCCAGACTGGGAAAAGCCTTAGGAGTCATGAAGGGGAGTTTCTATTTTATCTTCTATAGGTACAGGGTAGCCAGCCAAACATTTAAAGTGAGGAACAAATAATCAGATCTACATTTTAGAGAATCACCATAGGGTAGAAAGACTAAGGGCAGAAAAGCAGGCCTTGGACAGATGATGCAGTCGGAGGGAGGCATGGGGCGAGGGAAGGAGGCAGGGTGCCTAGGCGTTTCTGACTTGCCCGTGGCAGGGCTTTGTGGCTGATTGGAGAGAGGGAGACAAGAGGAAGGCGGCTTCCCGATTTGTAATGAGAGACACTTGGCAGGTTGGTGCTCTGAACAGAGAAGCAGGTAATGTGGAGGGAAAGTAATGAGTTCAGTGTTAGACATGTTAAGTTTTCCCCAAACCTTAGCATCTGCCAGTTGCTAAGAGGCATGACAGTTAAACCACTTTGGACACATAGATAATTCTATGCAAAATCACAAATATGGAAACTTCCTAAAGTGTCTTACAAATGCATCGATTTTAAAATTTATGTGTAATTTGAAGAGGAAATGAGAAGCAAACTGCGATGGTGATTTGGTTGTTTCAAAAAGTGCCATCCTACCAAAATTAGGGAAACAATACTATCCTTACACTGAGGGAGGAATCTAAAAATAATCAAACCAATCCCAAATGAGGCCTATGGGAAATGAAAAACTCATACTCTTTTAGTTCTATTTTAAGGACAGTAGTGGCATTGGGTGTATGTGTTTAGAATATGTTTAGTTCTGAATAGATTTTTCTCATCTTCACTTTATGGCACAATGCTTCAACTATCTGCTTGTCTCTGAATTGTTTGCTTTACCTATTAAGGCTACACTTGGTTCAAGGGCCACCCATACAATGGCTACTCATTACTGAATTCAGCCTTAAATTTCTTGACTAATATTTAAGTGTGAATATTTAGAGTAGAAGTCTGAAATAGAATGTTGAGCATCTTTCTGATCGATAAAACAGCCCAGATTCATTTAAAATCGTGTTCAAAGAATAGCTGAAAAAGTAATTACCACTGTTTCTTCCTCCATGAGCATAGATGACTACTTTTTAAAAGACATACCCAAATATTTTATTGCTTTTTTATAAATTTGTATTAGATCAAGGGTTGCCGTGATAGTCAGCTTTAGGATTTCAGAGCAAAGCCTTGCCAGTCACTGCAGACAGCAACTGTTCTTTAAGAAACAGGCTTTGGCTCGTTGCTGAGTTTTTGTGAAGAGGAAATGTTTAACCACAGACCATGCAACCTGAATGCCCAGCATGAACTGGGTGTGGTCTAACCTGCCCAGCCATAGAGCTGGCTGTGCACAGCAGCACTCCACTGTCAAATGAGAGCAGTTTGTATGATACCGGGCACTAGCGGGTCTTACCGATACCAGTAATTACACAAGGAAGTGGCCCGAATGCCCACGGTCTCCATTCCTGCGGCAATTCCTTCTCTACCCCAGACTGCACGTATAGCTTCACAGGGAGTTCTCTATGACCGGTTGACTGAGGAAAAAAAACCTGGGCCGGGTTCACAGACGGTTCTGCACAATATACAGGCACCACCCCAAAGTGGACAGGTGCAGTACCATGGCTCCCTTCTGGGACATCCCTCAAGGACAGTGATGAAGGGAAATCCTCCCCGTGAGCAGAATTACAGGCAGTGAACTTGGCTGTTCATTTTACTAGGAAGGAAAAGTGGTCAGAACTATTGAGTCTGTTCAGTTTATGGGCTGGGGCCAAGTTGGGCTGGACGGACTTGCAAGAAACATGACTGGAAAACTGGTGAGAAGGAAGCTGGGAAGAGGCATATGGCTAGATCTCTTTGAACAGGAAAAGAATATTCAGGCATTTGTATCCACATGAATGGTCACCAAAAGGTGACCTCAGCAGAGGATTTTAATAATCAAATGGGCAAAATGGTACATTCTGTTGGTGCCAGCCAACTTCTTTCCCTGGCCATCACTGCTGTCACCCAATAAGCTCACGAATGAAGTGACCGCAGTGGCAGGGAGGAGGTCATGCAGGGGCCCAGCAGCATGGACACATACGAAGTCTATGGACTCCACGGCCACTGCTGAGCACCCAACCTGCTGCAGCAGAGACCGACGCTGAGTTGCCGGTATGGCACCGTTCCACGGACTCATCAGCCCAGTGAAATGCTTACACATCGTGGAGGAGGCATTTTGTTCTCACTGGAATAGACATATATTCCACATATGGATTTGAGTCCCCTGTATTCAATGCTTCCACCGAGCTAGCATCCATGGACTGAAACCTTACCCAGCTACGGTGACCCACATGTTGTTCCTGATCAAAGATGGTGTGTGGCAGAGGGCCCATGCCCACGGAGTTCACTGGTCTCACCATGCTCCCCACCATCCCTTAGGCACCTGGCTTGATAGACAGTGGCCTTTTGAACTTCAGCACGGTGGCAATACCCTGCAGGGCTGAGGCACTGTGAACTCCAGGAGGACGTATATCCTCTGAATGTGATGCCAGCTTGTCTCTCCCATAGCCAGGACTCACAGCTCCAGGAATCAGGGGGTCAAGATGAGGGTGGCACCGCTATTACCCCTAATCAGCGACCTGCTAGCAAGAATTTTACTTCTTAAAAAATTCTCACGTGAAGATATGTTCATTGATCTGAGAAAAATTGAAGTGAAACATCAATCATCTGCATCCCCTTACCCCCACCCCAGCACACATCCCAACCCAGAATCAACCACCAGGTCAGAGCAAAAAAAAAAAATTGTCCTATCACTGAAATCTTATGTTCTGCTGGTCTAGAGATCTCAGCTCTGAAGGGAGGAATGCTTCTGCCAGGAGGCACAGCAGAAATTCCATTAAACTGAGGGGTCCGCTGCCACCCAACCACTGCAGCTCCAAGCTCTGCGTCAACAGAGTGGGGAGCTGCAAGGCTGACGCAAGTGACTGACTACCAAGGGGACACTGGCTGCTACTGCACTGGGGGCCTGTGTGTCTGGAACACATACCTGTTAGCAAGTCTCTTAGCACCAGCACGTCCTATGATTAAAGTCAGTAAAAACAGTACAATGAGTTGCTTTTTCAGCCATTTTTTTATTTATGGTTTGTGTTCAATGCAAATCAACTCCATAACATGAGAAATTACTATGAATCAAGGCATAAATACACAAACACAATATACAATCCAAAATAGATGTACAGCATTCAGGTTTGAAACAAAAGGGAATGTTCATTCACACACACAATAGCTTGAGATCTGCTGAGTACGGTGTTCCTGGGTAGGTTTCTAAAGATGGAAAACAATGACTTCGGTTATCAAGACTACCGTGGCCATGTCAGATACTGGAACATCTAAGCCTCAGTGTGTGACCATGCGAACAAAAGACTTTAGGGAATGTCAATTTTTAAAAAGGTTCTGTGCATCGAGGCAGTTGTAAAAAGATTTGCTTTCCAGAATCAAGCCTACCTTAGGCTTTGGATCAGGCTTTAACTATCTAAAAATATTGGCCAACAACAGAAAGTGTTTCAACACTATTTTGATTCCTAATTTTAAAAAAAGTATGTACAGAAAGAGTACAAAAGTTTTTCTGAATTTAATGCAAGCTTCCAGTCTTCACTTCCCAAATAACCTAATTTACAGTTTGGGCTTCTTCATATTATCTGCCTTTTCAATTTTAAAATTTGTCAAAAATGACCATTTCTTCAATTGTAAAAATGACTCAACTTATGCAGAAATAAAAAGCACTTTGACATTAGTTGAGGTCAGTGTACTTCTACTCTTTGGAATTAGTTTAGCTAAATGAATCTGGTGCTCTTGTTGAATATAAGAAGAATTTACTAATTATGCTTGGATTTGGGGTAGATTCCAATCCATCATTGCCCTGCACATATCAATTATTACACAAAAAGCCAAATGCTATGTCAAATCCAAAGCCTCAGAGGAAAGAGTTCAGTCCCCAAGAGACCAGTGATAGCTTAACAATGTAAAACTTTATCTAGAGTTACATCCTCATTAAATTAGCGCTGTGAAATAATACATTGAGGATTTACAGGAACACCTGGAAGATCCTTCTAATGTACATATAAATAGCTTTTTGCATTACCTAATTATTTTATGGCCTTATAACTGTAATGAACCAAAGGAAAACTGACTCTGTTCCAACTTCCATCCTTTATCTCTACATAACACAAGATCTATTCATTTTCAAGGTAGCATTTTATGTGTCCATACTTCTTAAGCCACATTTAAGGAAATCACCGCTCAACTAATTTGGGATGTGTTTCTCTTCATCTTGTATATGAAAGTCCAACAGATTTAATATTGGCATTCATCATCTAGTCAAACCTTGAACATGCTCTTCAAGCCAATCAAATTGGAGATCCTCAACATTTTCTGTGTCAATAAGATTAGGTGTGGAATACGATTCAAAGTTCTGATTTTTCCTTGTCACACTGGACGCCATTTGGATTGGGTTTAGAAGATAAAGAAGTACAGACGTTTCTTGGCCCGAGTCTCTCAACAGTAGAGATGCAGAAGAGAGAAGGAGATCAGCAAGAGACTGGCGGTTGACTGCAGGGCCCCATCACTACTTGCCTTGGTGGTGGTGGTATTCGTTGGACTGGGGCTAGACGTGGTATTATTCTGGGGAGAGGTGTTTGCAGGTGTGGTAGTGGATGAATCTGAGTAAATCTAAAAGATATAAATATATAAGAACAAGTTACACTGATACATTTCCACTCGTCAAGAGTTGCCTCCCCATACACTTAATGTGCAATGAAGATAAGATTTCTTAGGTTGCTCTTTGCCCATTGTTCCCTTGCCACATGGTTTAATTCTGAATTCTTGATTGGCATCACACTAAAATATTTCTATCGTTTCAAAGCAAACTACCTAGAGATGCCAAGTGACTGCAACAACCAAAACCAAGCAAAAATGCTCTTCACTTTATTCTTAATTATTTATAAAGCAATATAGGAGTTTGTGTGACAATACTGATTTACTGGCATTACAAAAGGTTTCCTTTATTTCCCAGGAAGGGAGGAGATAGTAAGCTGCACAAATAATTTAGAATATAAAACGCTGTAGAGACTTACGGTACTAGAATTGAGTCACTGTCTATTCAGGGACTGGCTCAATAACTTTCACACGCCCCTTTCATACCACCGTGGTGTTAACTTAAATGGACATGGAGTATCTGCTCACTTGAAATCCTGAAATTATAATCCTTCTCAAAAATAGCCAATGTATTTGTTTTAAATTTAAGAATACAATGAGCCCTTTCCTTACGGCAAAATGATTTCACCCAAAACACCAAGTCGTTGAAATGACACCAAGAGGATTTAGTGTTTAATTTTCACCAGCAGCAGCCTTCCTGCCTGGTCACTAAGCCCAGTGCCGTGGCCAAGAACTGCGGTCCCCCCAGTGTCCCAGTGCCTGAGTGGTGTCACTCAACACAGATTTTTCGAGTCACAAAATGCACAGTCCAGTGGGGCACGTGATAATCTCTCCTTTGTCCCGGAACAAAGGCAAATGGGAGATTTCAGCTCTCGCTGCAAGGGAGAGGGTTTACAAGGGCTTCTAATTACAGGCAAGACGGAGGTTGTGGCACCAAGCAGGTCTGGTCCACAGGTACGCTGGGCTGCCTGTGGTCCCAAAATAAAACTGGTCTTCACGAGCACCGGCTCCTATTGTTGTAAAACCCATAAGCTCATTAAGCAAATATTGACCAAAATGATGTATTTGACAAATCCTATCCAAAATAGACTAATAAAAAAATCCTGAGCAAGTCAAATATAATTACTGGGCACCTACTGTGTGCAAGATTCAGCTTGTCCTACCAGGAAATAGCACTCCCACTAAAAGAAATGCATTAACATAGGAAATTATGTTACACTGGACGCTCTGTTTGGGGGCAAGACCTGGCTCGGGATCCCTGAAGGTGACCAGTTTTTACTCAAAGTATCTCGTTGCAGCAGGTGACTTTTTAATATAGAGCTCAGTGCACCCTAAGTAAGGGCCCTCTGCACCGCCAACAATTCCAATACGTTAAATTGGCATTAAACAAAAAATTCCCTACCAAGCTAGATTTATTTGCTCATCTAGAACCTCCCTTTTAAAAAATTTGGGGGGAAAAATCTGGTTGGAAAAAAATGGAACGGAGGTGGGGGAGACCAGTAGGTTTCTCGCGGCCGCGCCCCTCCCCCACCGAGGACTCGCAAAAGCCTCTAGAGCGCAGCCGACCCGTAAGACAACAATAGGGTCCAGTTACCCGCCGGCGGAGGGGAGGCCGCGGAGAAGCGCTCCATTCCCAGGCTGTGCTGCCAGGTGAGTCCGGAGGCTGGCTATTGGGGGACCAAGGACCCAGAGCACCCAACTTTTCGAGAAAGCTCAGGAGACACTCCGCAGAAGCCCCAGCGGAAGGCGATGGAGAGCCACTCCTGCCCTCCCAGCCCACGCTGCTGGAGAAATGTCCCTTCAAGCCACCCTCCTCCCACCCTGGAACCTCCGGCTGGGGTCTCCCAGGTTCTGCCCCTGGCCTGCCTCGAGGCCGAGGCCGCCGCGCACCCACCCCGCAGGGCAGCGTAGTTCCCAGTAAAGGCGTTGGGTCCAAGTTGGATCCTGGGATGGAGGACGGGGGGGTGGGGGGATGGGGACAAAGCCTAGCAGGGAGCCGGGACAGAGACCCGCCGCCTTCGCCGAGACGGCCAATTTGCGCTATCACCGGGCTCGGAGGTGACGAGAGATTAACCTGGAAGGTCGCACCGGGAGACCACAGGGTTGGGAGAGGGTCCCCGCCCAGCCGGGAGCCAGGAGGGACTGGAGTGGGTTAAAAGGGCCAGATAAGAGGGGTTTCCTCTGGCTCCCCAAACCAGCTGAGTGGAGAATGGTAGAGTGGCGCCCCCCCTTGCAATGGGGATCGTCCCCTCTCTTTGTGTGGTGCGCTGGGGGAACAAATACTCCTGAAGGAGAGCAGGGCGCTCAGGAACGACCTCCCCAAAGAGTCTGAGGTTTCTGGGCGTTGCAGGGGTGGGGAGCGCATTCTCCTACCGGCTAGTGCCTCGGACCCGAGTGGAAGCGGGTGGTAGGCGCCAAGCAGCAGCCTAGGAATGGACGGCACGGAGCCTGGGGTGGGGCGGGGTCCTCCCAGTTCACGCGCAGACCAGCATTGTTCTCGGAGCCGCGGGACGGGTGGGGATGGTACGAAAGGGACTGTAAAGTGGGCTTCACAACACCCTCCCCCAGGTCACATTATGTTCGAGTCCCAGTCCGCGGCCCGGGGTAGGACCATAGGCTAATCCCTGGGAGAGTCTCGACCCCCTCGGGCACATCACCCCCGCGTCCAGCGGAGCACCAGGGCCTCACCTGCGTGGGTAGGAGCAGCGCTAGAAGCAGCAGCCCCAGTCCGAGCCTAGCAACCATGGCTCTGCCCATGTCCGCTCCGTCGGTGCGCCGCGAGTCTCGCTGATAGCCAGGTGCGTAAAGAACCGCTGGTTCGGGGTTGGGCGCAGGCAAAGTGGGGAGCACAGCCCGCCCGCAGGACCTTATATACCCGGACAGCTACAATAGCCGTGACGTGGCGCCTCCCGCCCACCCACCCACTCTCCCTCCTCCGCTGCCGCCGGCCCCGCCCCGCCGGGCTCCCCGGGGCCCCAGACCTCCGCAGCCGCCCGGGCCGTCGTGCGCCGGGAGACCGCGACCCGTTGGCTCGCGGCAGGTGGGCGGCCAGGCGCCGCCCGCTCCGGGCTGGGTGCTTTTTGTTTCCCCGAGTGTGCTGCCTGCGGGCTGCACAGGCGTCTGGCGACTCCCACACAGGACCCGGGGCGAACTCGCTAACCACGCACGCCGCTCTCGGGGCCGGGCCCAAGTTCCCTTTGTTTCCCAGACCAGCCATCTTACTGCCCAAAAGAAAGTCTGAGCCTCCCGCGGCGGACGCCCTCCAGTCCGGGCTGGGACCCGGGCACGGGCGGCTGGGCTGGGGGGCAGGGAGCTCTCTGGGCTTAGGTTATCTCAGATCCCCGCTTCAGAGAAGGGGGACTGTAGGGGCTTTGTGGGCACCCCGAGCTTGGCGACAGGAACTTGGCACCGCCACGCGTGCGCCCTTCCCGAGCTGATCCGAGGGGCTCGCAGGCAGCGCCTAGGCTCAGAGCCATTTGTCTGTTCAGCCCCGCGCAGAGAGCGCTCCCGCTCGCTGGGTTTGTGTTTTGAGCTCCTCACTTTCGCCAGGCTGTGCGAACGCGACGGGACAGCACGGTCCCCTTCTTCCGGAGAGTTGGGGAGCCGCCCGGTGGGCGCGGACCTGCGGCCGCGGCGCTGCGAGCGACTGGGTTTTGGCCCCCCAGCGCGCGACGGGCGGCTGAGGCGAGGAAGCGACAATCCCCTCCGGGGGTGGCCCCAGTCCCCAAGACGGCTTTGCTCTCAGGTGCCACCCAGGGAGCAGGAACCTCTTTGGCGGTCCCACTAGAATTCGCAGCCCCTCTGGAATTCCTGGGGGACACTCTCCATTGGTCTGTGTTGCAATGCACTTGTTCGTCATTGGTTTAAACAGCTAAAGCTTAAGGGATAGGCATTTACTTTTCCATGGCTGCCATTAGGCAATTTAATGAACTGGTGCAAATAGAAAATTAGTCATCATTCTGCAGATTTTAGTGGAATGTCTTTTCCAACCATTAAACAGTGAAAACTTTCGAGCATACATAAAAGTTGAAATAATTTTGCTGGTAAAGTATTTTTGGTTTGATTTTCAATTGCTGGACATAATCCTGTTACTTGGGTTTTGCCCTAGTGTTTTACAATCTTGAAAGCAAAAAGAGGCGGAACCTAAAAAGGCTGTAAATTTGTTTAAATTTCACTTTTGCAGAACAGACTTGTTTTAAAAAAAATAAAATAAAAGTTTTATGGAAGCAGAGTAGCAGTGGAATTCCCAGAGCTGGTCTGGGGCTGAGTGGACCTGTGCCCCTAATGGTCAGCCCCTTTAACTCTGTAACTTTCCACATGCAGCGTGTGCTGGGAAAACAGCGATGTCTGCTGTGCGTGAGATGGATCACATAGTGTAGAAAGAACCTGTTCACATTCAACTTCTCCTCTCCTCTTCCAGGGCATGCAGAGACTGGGGCTCACCAGCACCTGGGTCCAAGGCAGAACCTAGCGTAGGCTCTTCTGAAGCTCCTCAGAGGATCCATTTATGTGGTCCTGCATCCGTTTGTTCTATTCCTCCTCCCTCCTCCTCCTCCTCCTCACTAGTTTAAGGAGATGGACTGCTGGGATGGAAAAGAATACAGACTCTAGAGCCAGACTGCCTGAGTCCAAATCCTGTTTGTGTGCTTACGCTTGAGGCAACAAGACTCAGTTTCTTCATCTGTAAAATGGACATAACACAACCATTATGAATTAGTTACTAAAGGTTTACTGTATATAAAGTGTTAGAACAGTGCCTGCCTTATACTGGGAGCCCTCAGGTGATACTCGCTGCGAGACTGAAGGTCCCAGAACCAGACCTTCTTTGATGCCATAAGATTCATGAAAGAAATATCAAGCACAAAAGAGTGCTCCAACTTGGTAAGGCCATTGGCATCTATGCTCCGGGAGCCACCGCCAGCTAATGAGACTGCGTAATTCACAAAGCAAGATCCTTTACTTCTGCCTAGCAGTTCCTGGGGCGTCCAAAAGGGACGTGGCCCAGGGTTCAGTAATTCTGTACCCTGGAGGCTTAGCCTGGTAGTCGAATTCACCTCGTTCTATTTCCTTTATGGCAAGAAACTCAAGTAACCTCACTGGTGTGGCTCGGTTGGTTGGGCATTGTCCCCCAAAATGAAGGGTCTCTGGTTAAATTCTCAGTCAGGGCCTTCAAAATGCAACCAATTGATGTTTCTCTCCCTTCGTTTTTCCCTTCCTTCCCCTTTCTCTAAGAATAAATAAATAAAATATTTTTTAATCGCCCTGGCCAGGTGGCTCTGTCCATTGGAGCACCGCCCTGATCTCCAGGGTCACAGGTTCCATCCCCAGTCAGGGCCCAGGTGAGAGTCAACCAGTGAGTGCACAAATAAATGAAATAACAAACTGGCGTTTTTCTCTCTCAAATCAGTGATAGTAATAAAATCAAATAAAGACACATGGCCAGTTTCCATTTTTACAGAGAACTTATTTCATGAAATAATCTTGAAACCAATCAAGTCTATAAAGTAATGTATCTGTGTAAAGCAAGGGGCCCAGCACAGGCCTCCCCAGGACGTGCCACTCGGGCCTGCGGGGTGTCTTCAGCTGAAGGCAGCTCAGAGCCTGTCAGGGCTCTGGGCTCATGGCTCGTGAGAAACTTTTACTTGTCCCTTACCGAATTCAAATTAGGGGCCCTGCCCATAGTAATAGTTGTACCAGATATGCTTTTTATGACCTATCTATAGGGCAGAGCAAACATCTAACCACTGGACAGCTAAATGAGCTTCCTCTCCTCTGAAGTCCCAAGGCACCTTCCTCATCCTTAGCTCAGGATGCAAATGACTTCGCTTTTTGATGCTGGTTCTCTTATGAGTAAAACGAAGGGAGTGAGACCTACAATTTTCAAGTAGGGAGCTGTGAGGATGACGAAGAACCAGGCTGATGTACCTCGTAGTAGACCCTGGAGCCAGACCTGGACTTGAGTCCTGCTCCACCACTTCTAACAGTCTGACTTTGGGCAGGTTTCCCTACCTCAATTACTTCATCTGGAAAATGGGTAAAGGGAATCTACCCTGAACCTACATTTTAGGATAATGATTCTAAACTGATTATTAAGAAACCAGGATCAGAAGGAAACTTTGACACACACACCCCCACCCTGCCGACCCCATTCCTGTCCAAGAGATTCAGACAAAAAAAACAAAAAAACCTTCAGGAAGATTTTAGGATGTTCACCTTGGCCTAATTCGAATTAAGTACGGTAAACAGGAGGGCTTCAGGCAGAGTCTTGTTAGCTGGATACCTCTATGTCCCATCCTTTCTGAGTTGCCTAGCAACAAGTCACTTGTATGGCCCTGGCTGGTGTGGCTCAGTGGGTTGAGTGTCATCCCACAAACCAGCAGTTCACTTCCCGGTGCGGGCACATGCCTGAGGCCCAGGGCCAGGTCCCCAATTGGGGACATGCAAGAGGCAACTAGTCAATGTTTCTCTCTTCCACTCTCTCTAAATAAATAATATTTTAAAACATAGTCACCTGCGAAGATGTTCTGCTCTTCTTCAACTCCCTGTAAATTTGCCATTCTCGCCTCTGAAATCTAATATCCACCCCCCACACCACTTTTCTCCTTTGTCCAAAATGTCATATATATACACGGTTGATTCGCTGTCTTTGAGATTTGCATGTGTATGTGAATATCCCATACATATGTATTAATTTTTTATTTTCTCATGTTATCTGTCTCTGTTCATTTGATTATTAGCTCACAGCTAGAAGAACTTATAAGGTAGAAGGAAAAATATTGTTTTAGCCTGCAGTTGGACTAGTAATACCTACCTCACGGGCGTGTGACCCTCACCGAGATAACGTGCGTGGTTAGCACGTTTCCTGGAGTGTGGAAGGGACTCACTAGGCTGCCACTCCTGTCACTACAGGATACCTTCATTCTAGAGTGGCTTTTAAAATCTTTCATTTGTGTAACTCTACTTCTTTTCTTCAAGCATCGTTGCATGTGGTATTTTATATGGTCAGTGAGGCAGATGGCATTTGCCTTATTTTCATTTCTAAGGCAGAGAGAAGCAACTTGCCCAAGGCCACAGAGGCAGTGCCGGTGCCTCACCTGAAGCAGAACCAAAGCTTCCGGACCCAAGTGTTTCCTGCTGTGCCAGCTAGGGCTGCGGCCAAGACTCCTCCAACCCGCAGCCTTTGCACCTGGCACTCAATCAATATCGCCAGTTGAATGGGCTAATATTAAGAAAGCAGGTCAGCCCTGGGTGGTGTAGCTCGGTGGATTGAGCACGGGCCTGTAAAGCAAAGGGTCGCTGGTTTGATTCCCAGTCAGAACACATACGTGGGTTGCAGGCCAGGTCCCCAGCAGGGGACACATGAGAGGTAACCACACGTTGATGTTTCTCTCCCTCTCTTTCTCCTTCCCTTCCCCTCTCTCTAAAAATAAATAAATAAAATATTTTTTAAAAAAGAGAAAGCAGGTCATTTTCTTTTTTGAGGGAAAATAATACATACTATTTCAAGAGAAATAGATATTATTTGACTTTTTTAGCACATTACAGGAAAATGGGCATGAAATATAATATTTACCCAGTAATGGATATTCCTTTTATGCTTTACAGCAGAAATGGTGGCTGGAATAATGAAATATTTCATTTAAATTCTATTCTACAATATGATTCTATTCTTATGTATCTTCACAAGACTCTCCCCCTTAGTCTATGCCATCCTAGATTTGGCTGGAATTTAATATTTTAACTTATTCTGGTTCTTAAACTAAGCTTTGTCCTGCACTCCAGCCAACTCCACTCTTCCTATGGCAGTGAATTAACATTTCTTGACTGAACACTGTTCTGAGTCACAGGGCTGGAGCAAGAGTTGCAACCTGATTTTCTGTGGGGACGT